AATCTTTATAAAAGAAAAATGTTCCACGATTGGCTTGTGGGCTGAGTACTGCCAGGTTGCCCAGGTCAAGGCAGGTGAATTTTCTTGAGGAATCCACAACCGGAGCCTTCGGCTAGCCAAAGCCTGACCCGCAAGGCAGCGGGGCAGTGTGCGAAAACCGCAGTTCATTGGGAGCCGGTGTCCAGTTCATCGGATCATACGCCTTTCGGACGGGGTCAGACACCCAAGGTGCCCAATCGAGCCGGTGACCACTGTCACAACCGAAACGGCGTGGGTGTGATTCGTGCGCCTCCTTTGGATTGGTTTGGAATCAGGGTTTTTAACCAACTCCCTTAGGTGAACTATCAGTGTTCCACCAACCCGGCTATAGCCCCGGATATCGGCTTTTCGTCCTCTCACTTTGGTGGGAAAACACCTCCGCCGCGAGAAGGCAGTGAGTAGGGCTTCCTCAGCAGAGGCTATTTGAGACGCTTGGTCGTATGGGGGCATTTCGTGAGGTGCAAGGGCAGGGTGACCAGCCGCAACCCTAGACATCCACCCCTGACCATACTGAGGCTTTGGGAGGCCGCTTTTAGTCTTGCCCCGTTTGTTAACAGCTCTCGCTTTAATACCCCGAAAAACCCGTTATGTTGGATCCATGTTTTTACTTATCTGTTTATTTGCATCAATCTTTGCTTATCACTATTACTTTTTCCATGCTTTTTACAGTATGCAAAATGACATGAAAATTCCGGCTGCGGAAAGACGAAAGTAAGTTCCGGTACATTTTTCTAGCTGCAATTTCTATTCAGAAGATTTGTTTCTTTGTTGAACAAAAACATCAATAATGCATACTATCAATTAACTATCACTGGTGCGTTGTGCTCGAGACTCATCTTGATAGGCTTTCTTATGGGAGAGATATCTTCCTTGTTCAATGTGTTCGAATGCATTCCTCGGGGACTTTAGTTGAATTACATACTAGTCTATGCATTTGTATATTCGAACTCTGACGGTATTATTCCGCTTTGTTGAAGGATTGCTTCACTACTGCCTTGCGTAATGAAGCACTTATATTGATACAGTCGGATTTTCCAGTTCACCTTGGTCCCAAATTCAGTCCTGTCGATCCTATAATCTTTTGTCTACCATCTTCCGTACTACCTGCTTGTTTGCCTGGAAAAACATGTTTGTAAGTTGCATTTAATTTTAAGGAGCACACCAAGACCTCTTGGAGCCCATACAGTGTAACAGTTTTCAATACAAATCACTGCAACAAACAGTTCACGAGCTTTCGATGTGTTTGTTACTGTGCTTTTCGTCCTACTTCGTCTTTATGGTATTCGATGAGGCAAAGATTAGGTTGCCGGTGTCTCGTTGATTCGACTAGCGAAAATCTGCATAAACTTTGTTCCATCAATTGTTCGTTTCGAATTATTGTCATCAGCATTTCATGTTTATGAATTGGTGGTAGTCAATTGATCACGTGTTTTGTACAGTTCATAGGTTTAAACGGAATGTTTTGAAGAAAAAAACTCACACTGACTGAACGATTTAGCGTTGATTACAAAGTCGATATGCTTGATGTTTTCAGATAGTTTACACAAATAGCCTGTCGTGCATACCAGTGACACGTACATGGGTTTGTCTACGAACACAAACTGCTTGTTCCGTAGTAACTGCGTTTATAGTGCATCATTGTTAATTCTGCGATTTATCATTACGCTTCCGACTATGACTTCTTTTGTCGATGACATTATCATACACAGAGTGCTCATTCCTGCGATTTGTGTTCATCCACACACGATCGGTTTCCTTTTTTTCGTTACACACTTCATTGTAACGGACCATCTCTGAGGTAGGTCCCATAGTCAAAGACCTATTGCTCAGTGATAGGTTTCTGGCACTCCCAGCCCTGGGATTCGGAATAGCGAACGACATCACTCGGGCTTTTGCGCAGATACTTCAGCCTTTGATCTTTTCTTTGCACTGCACTATTTCACCTTACATTCTAGCTCGAGCTATCGTTTTCACCAACTATTTCGTTCCCTGTCAAGACTGGATGCTGACAAACATTATAGACACAAAAACATCAAAAAACCACAGTTTCCAAAACCTTATCAATCGTGCAATCTGGGGGGTCTGCAACTTGCTGATCGGTTGTCGTGTTTGTCATACGCATATATTGTGCTAGTGATCAATGTCTTATGCGCCTCTGACTCCGGAATCCGAGATACCACCAGTGTCAGCCATTTGTACATCCTCGGTCCTTCCCCGATATAACCCTTTTACATATCAGGAGACGGTTAATTTTATTCTCTCTTGTTTGATCCAGCTGTTTGTGCCAAATTTCAGGGGAATCTTTGACATAAGCTTGCAGTTTTGCAACACAGTGGACTGAGATCATACGTTTGAGGCATTTGACAACAAGTTTCATATTTGAATTCGAGCCTGATTTCCGTCTAATACATTAGGTCTGTGAGTCCGTAGCTCTGTTAATGTCAATAGCTGTGGTCATAATCGGCTTAATCAGGAACGAACTGTACCCAATATGTCAGTCACGAGGGATCCTAAGCCAGACACTACCTAGGTTAGACGAAGAGTATTAGGTTGTGGACGTCGTGGGCTGACGCAATTCTTTGACCAGAAATTGCTGTCGTTAGACCATGTGGTAAGCGTATCACTGGATGGGCTTCCTTGGCGTGCGGTATTTACCGAGACACTTGATAGCAATTGGTAATGTAAAATTATAAAAATAATCTTTTTCTAATTGCGACCATATTCTCTGAAACAAAATTGATAGTTTTATGGAAAATATGTTACGTGATGGAGACCAAGCATGTACATACACACTGCTCGATCTTCGTACTATGATATAATCTATTGTTAAGTTGGAGCAACCTAGAGTAGCTGTTAGAGTCACCACCAGATGCATTTTAGTCTTAGTTTGGCCCCATCCACAATAAGTTGTTTTCTACAAAATAACACTGGTGGAAGCACAATACATAAATAACAAGTAGACAAAATGATAAAAGTAATCACATACGTATGCCTTTATCAGTAAGTTTCATGCAGGTCATGTCGTCCAGTACGTATATTCACTAACTGAACAACTAGACTCAAAATAAACTGTTGGTCAAGAAAGAACCTCAATTCACAAGTCTGTCTGAAGCTCTAAAACTGTGATTGCAATTCCCAAATTGCATGCAAGATTTGCGTAAGCTGCATTTAACTAACCTTCCTTCATATTCACACGTGTCACCGTGTTCCGCCTTCCGAAGTCTTACAACAAAGGTAACAGGGAACTCGCCTCGCAACCTCATCATCCATAAAACTGGGACTTGCCTTTCCCGGTTCACAACGCACGGTAGGACGAATACGGTCAGGTGATTTAAGTCATTGACCTGCTTTGGGCCCTTGGTTCCGCGATTCGAACCTCGCCACTGCCACCCAACTTTGTAAGCAGCTTCACTGTAATTCAGCTCAATACCACACCTAACTCAGTGAGGCTTTATGTGATTCGCCAATCCAAGTCCCGGGGCTTAGGTTTCCGGTTTTCGTGAGCGAATACCCGGTCCTCGTAACTGGGTTTTACCTTCGTTTTTGTTTATCACACAAGGGTGTGTAATAAGGAAGAAAACTACACGACGGTTGGTAAATATCCTTTAGATAACCGACTATCATCCAAATTTGAGTTTCGAGTAAGCGATGCGTCTGCGTTAACGAGCTCCTATCGAATGATACGATTAAAAGCAACTTATCAACTACAAATCATATATGTAGGAATGGTAGTCTGGAGATGGAAGAAATAGATGTATACAAATGGAACCAGCGTATTGTCATTTTGATTGTTTTATTTGTTACCGGGTGGGAGTTATTTGTGGTGACTGGAGGGCTTTCATCGACGGAACCTGGTCTTATTCGAAATACCCAGGATTAAAACACTTCGTAGAACAGATATCGACCTCGACGTTTCAAAGCAACAAAGCCAAAACTTAGTTTCATCGTTTCACTCGATATTGCTCATTGCCTTCCACACCAGCGACACGGATGCATCGCCTACTCGAGATGCACTGTTTCACTTGTCACAGAAAACCGATAGCTATCAGAGAAACGGTGATATGTAGGAATGTGAGGGAAGGTTAACTGAGTACCTCTAACGAAAGTAAGATCATCTGATTCCATGTCGTTGCACTTTGGAAATACCAAGCTCAATTCTAGTTACCTAGATGGAATTGCTTGCCCAGCAAGCCGGTACCACTGTGCATATGGCTCACATCAGTAAAATATATCTGTTGTATCATAAAACGAACATCTATTAAACGGTCAGCTCACAGTGGAAACTGGAAACTTACTGAACATGTTTTATGTTTTTGCGAGAGAGGCTGGTCTATGCAAACGATTTAGTATCATCACCAAATGGCGCAAATTCGAAAATTTTATCTTTCAAAATTCTAGTAGTAGAAAGCATTTCATCATTGGTTGTTATTTATCATTTCTTCAGGGATACACTAAAAGCATTTCACATTCTTCAGAAATATTATCCACGATGAAATGGATTTTGTCAAGTAAGATTACAAATCCATATAAGAACCTTATATCGTGATGAGACAAAACGTACACATCAAATTTATGACCTCGCACACAGACGTTCGCGAAGCATTCAGAAAAAGCGATGTTACGGCAAAAGCCATTCATACACCATGACTGCTTTGTCTTTTTGCATAGATAGCCAACGAGTGCATCTGAAAGCTAGGATCCGAATTTCTCCCAATCTGTCAGCTGATCATGGACGTTCTGTGTACGATTGTGTGACTGACAGACCGGGGCAGGTGAAGGTAATTTCAGTGCGCATTAACTGGCACCCTATCTCATTCCATGACTGACGCAATCTGTTCGCCGCACATAGATAATTGGGAGAACGGTAGACTGTTTGTTCGCAAATCCCCTTTGTCTACCGTGGTTGTTACTGATTTCAACCAGCGCTGGTCACATCAAATGTGTCGGTCAAATTCAACAAGCAGTGTGGGCGAAAAAGAAAACGGTCAATTTAGAAAGTGACCAGAGTCATCGTCTGTCAGTAACTGAGGTGTAATTGACGTCGCTGTCTAAAAGTGGAATGATTTTCAGCTCAATCATTAGATGGGTCATCCAAAACGCCGTTCCTACTTCGCATGTGCGGTACAACTTAACCGGAGCAACTACATTGTCGTCCTTTTGGATACATTTGTAGGTAGCGAGCAAGAATCGTGAAAATCGATCAAACGCGTTAGGCGCTTCACACTCCTGGGACAACGGTAAAGGCCATTCAGATCAGATTGATCTGATAGGCCATTACTGACCTCACTACATTTGTTAATCATACTGCAATTAAAAACCAAAGGATATATAGGTGTAAGTGAATATTCGTTTTCATTGCACAACTATTCCCTCATTTCATTCAGATGGTTAATAAATGGAGCTGAGGAGAAATGATTTCCTGAACACTTATTTCAGTAGCACCTACGTGACCGACATTCAATATAAAGTAACAGATGGCGACAGGGAAGTTAGAGGTACCAGAAATAGTGATAATATTTTGCTGCATTTGAATAAAATAAGATTCTGTACAGATTAACTAGAGAGACCGTGGGATTCGAACGGCGAAAGAACATGATTTGTTCCTGTTCCTGAACTAAATATGTTAACATAATGATCCTTTCAACGAATGTTTGTAATCTTATCATTAATATGTGACTCAAAATTGATGTAAGGACAGTATCCAAGCCGAG